ACACACACACACACACACACACACACACACACACACACACACACACACACACACACACACACACACCCGGAGGGAGGGGTGGTGAAAATGTTGATATCAATAATGCAACAAAATCGTAGTCTCATAAAAATATCACTAATATCTCATTATGCCTTCACATTGAAATAAGACACGTAGGGCTGTCTACACAATCCCCTATTAAGCTTGCCCTGTTACACAGGCTGTCACGGTATCTTTCGCTATCTACACAGAAACACGACAGGAAACTTGTCAACAACACGTTTCTGCTGGGAAGCTTTACTTAACATGGGAGGCCGGGAAGATTTGATAGTGGTTTTTAGCTGTGGGCATGGGCTTGATTGACGCACGGGTGATACAGAGGTAGATTTTGGTCTGGTGGTGGTGATGGCGGTGGTGGTGGTGGTAATGGTCGTACTGATGGTGGTGATGGTGGTATGGTGGTATTGTTGGTGATGGTGCTGTTGTTGTTGCTACTGCTGCTGTTGCTGTTGTTGTTGTGGTGGTGGTGGTGGTGATGATGATGATGATGATGATGATGATGATGATGATGATGATGATGATGATGAAAGTAAACTAAAATTGACAAATAAACAAGGTTCGTACTTGAGCTCAGTAACTACCAGAGCAACAAATTAAATAAATTAGAAAAAAACAAACAAACAGCCCCACACCAGAATCAAAGTAGCAGTTCCAAAAAAAAAAAAGTATCTAATACAACAAAATTGACGAAAACAAAAGAGCATAAACTATTTACCGAGACCACACACGCCATCCCCCTTCATTGCAGAGAAGCGTATGTATAGCTGTGGCCTAACTATACAATATAAAGCGTTCCTTTGTGCTGCGCTAATAACATGCTCGTGCGTTATTTAGAATGTCTATGATTACTGACAAGAGAGAGGAATCGATCTTTGACACCCTGAACCAACGTTTGCCACACCTTGCAGACAAGCAGACTGACAGGACACATGCTTGAACAAGGTTACATAGTAGTCCACGTCATGCACGCCACTCGCGCTAAGGGTGTGTTTGCACAGGCAGGGAGAAAGGCTGTTGTTACAGACACTGATGTGGGGGGGACGATGGAAACGCTAACTTAGAAGAAGAACGTTTGTGTTATAGTGTTTCGGCTGTGTACAGCGGTTTTTGGCTTAGGCGTCTTGGGGAAAAAACGGGAGGTGGGGGGATAAAGTAGATGTTTATGATTTTTCACTACCGAATGGTATTCGTTACATCACACTTAACTTCTTGTTTGTTATGTTTCTATGATTATTGTTATTATTATTGCTATTATTATTATCATCATTATTATCATAATTATCATTATTACATCATCATCATCATCATCATCATCATCATCATCATCATCATCATCATCATCCTCATCATCA